TTGTTTCCCATGTTTATAATTAAATCTGGTTCAGTAGTTACTGTAATTGATAATGTGCCAGTTGCCAGATTACTGTTATATCTTCATGTTGTAATTTTATTCCACAAATGAAAATGCTACATAAGAGGTTTACACAAATTTCTATTTCTCATGGCTATCTGCATAGCTGGCTGCCATGTTAAATGGCCTCCAATCCTCCAGAGACCATTGATGAAGGTGATCATAATGCCCTTCATTTGTGTGGAGCTAATTTAGATTGTTCAACAGTTCACTTGGGTTGTATTTACTGAAGATTAACTTACAAGTTCAATGAGTAAAAATAAAGAAAAACTACAGTTTGGCCTGCAATAAGTTATAGCCACTGAATTTCTAGAAGTTAAATAGACTTATTAGGCATTTTATGCTAATTTGGAGCCACATATGAAAAAACAATGTGATACTAACTTCAGCATTAATATTCTCAGTGATTCTAGTTACTAAAGCTATTCAGCACTTCAAAATTCCGAAGGAATAATTAGAACAACATAAGTGGAATCTTACTTAAAAGACTGCATCTCTCTTACGTGGACTACTCATTCACATGAAAGATGGTTATATCAAAGTATTAAAATAGCTACACAACCATATAAAGTTAAAGTGACATGCTCATGAGGTGTTCATGATGGGCATTTTTGATGCAATTACTATTTATAGGATAGCCTATGACGTTCTGCATATATACTCATAACAAATCATCAAAATGACTCAGTATCACTGTTCACTCTTCTAATTCTCCACATATTTGGCACTACCATGAGTTCTTAATTACTTTCTTTCCCACAGTTGCTCTACTGACAAATTTTTCTCTAATTGTTGCCTTCCTCCAGTATTTTACTCTTCCTTCATTCCAGTGATGTGCAGTTCCATCAGTAATATCCCATGCCACTTCCGTGGTGCTCAGGCTTCAGGAAAGCTACCTGAATCTGTGGTCCACCAGAGGCCTCAGTCTTTAGAGCAGGCAGTGGCCATATATTGTTTCACTTTCCTATCTGCCTAAGGTATGTAATGCACTTGTTTATACATCACAGTTAATTATTCCCCTCATGAAGTTTATGAATACTTTGCTTTTCAATACCAGATGAACAAGGGTGCTACACGCCAATACTTTACTTTTGGGCAAATAAAAACTTAACAGCGCTTGATTCTTTTAACATGAGGTCTTCAAAATGGCTTGCCACAATTCCATTGAGAGCAATGGAATATTCAGAAATACTGAAGTTAATGTATAAATTTCTATATGTTTCATCCACTGCAAATTAATTGCACAGAGTGACCAGGACCTATGACTGTGTTGTACAGTACGTAAATAACAGATCTAAATTTTGCGTAACTACATGATGAATTCAAAATGTTAGGATAATGAATGTGATTCCCTGATGAAGCCAAAAATTGAAATGACACCATGAACTTATTTTTTTGATGTACTGTTCTAGTACACAACAATAAACCTCAGTCTTTAAATAATTAACCTCATTTTGTGTAGTCTTTTAAGAAACAGGTATAAAATTTAGACATAGACGGAAAGCAGCAACAAACCTTCATTACCATGGACAGGATGGAAATTCAATGTAATTAAACATTTTATAACACTCCGAATATTGGGAAACCTTAACATTTCTCATTTAAAAAAAAAAAAAAGAGCAGTTCCTCCCATAGATAGTAGCAACACAGTATTATTAGCATAGATAGAATATATAACAAGTTTAAAGTGTAACAAGCATCTAGATCTTTATACACCTCAAATATGAATTAAGCTCTGCTGTGTGGAAGAGTATATGGTTGACAGGCGACTTGCTGAAGATCTTAGTGCAAGAGCATAGAAGAATTTTCTTGTCCTTTGATTCAATTCAGATGAGCAATACATGTGGTACTTCCAAGCTATGCAATCATTTTATCTTCACATATCTTTTATGTTTTCATTTTTCCTTCAGTCTGGCAGGTGTTTAGATAGAGACTCCAGAAATCTAAATAACCTGGACAGTGTTGTAATGCACAATGACCATCCCAGATAGTATGAATTGGAGGCTGTTCCTACTTACTTGTCTGAGGAATCTGCAAATATGCCTAACTCAAATTTATCATTTCAGAACAGCCATTTTTAAGTGCTTTTGCTATCCAGGGAATGAACTGCAGATGTTATTACTGAACCAGAAACAAACATAATAAGTGGATGAGGCTGTCATAACTAAGAGTACAGTGTATCAGAAGTAATGCTGAAGTAAACACAAAGATGGACGTGCAGATTAAGCACTTTATTTGGAGATTGTGAAACTGGATCTGAAATTAAAAGTGGAACAGTGCTTACAATCTTGCTAGTTTCTGTGCTACAGAGACCTTTAAGATGATCTTCAAAATGGGCTGTAATGGAGCCTGCCTTGAAAGCAGAAAATGAGAATATGTATTCTATTCTCCTAGGGCTGCTTAAGCAGGGCAACAGCAGTGCTCCTGATGTGTTTTGGTTGTGAGAAATAAGCATGCTTAATAAAACCAAACTGATTACATCTTGTCTCCACCCCATCAATTATACAACTGGAAAACATCTTTCCAATCTAGTGTTATGCAAAAATAGGAAAAAATAACTTTAGTACAGTAGTCTGATAGATGGTGTGTAGCCATATTTCATGGCATACAGACATTTTTGGTCAGTTTAATTTTTGCAAAAAAAAAAAAATCTTTAATAGAATAATCAGAGCAGACAACTATTCGAACCAAATGCTGTGGTAATTACTGCCTTTGCTTCAATGTAGTTTAATACAATTCTCCCCAATTTTCATATCTCTTCACTCTCAGTTGAACTCTAACCTTCATTTCTTGTCACTAGTCTTCACACACATGTATTTTGTTTGCTTTCTTTCCCTTCAGTATAAAATAAAGTAAAATTAACAAGGTAAGGACAGCAGATATAGGAAAAATCACATCTCTGACAGTCAAATTTAATTAGGATTGAAAGTTACCTCAAAACATAATTTATTCAGTTTCTGTGAGGGTGCATTCATTAGCACGTCTGCTGATGGAAGGACTTATAACAGAAATCTTTGCAGGAGGAATTAGTGTCATTCTATAGGCTTATTAGCATAGAAATGGGACTTCCCAAGAAAGAAGGTTTTTTTTGTTTGTTTTTAATTAACAAAACGTTCTATAAGCCATATTGTATTTGTTCACAGTTCTGTCCGAATTCTGAGATGTTATTTTAGGACTGTAACAGAGAACAACTTAAAATAATGCTCCTTGTAGTGCAATCTAAGTTTTCTGAGTGCTTATTATACCATTTTTAGTCCCCCACGTGCAACAAAAAAATGGTGTTGAGGAGCTGGTAATGTTTAATTTGTTTGGATTTATTCACTTATTTAAATAAGAAAAAACTCACAGCCAATCCCAGAAGAGAGATAAAAAAGTAGAAAGAAGAGAAAAATAATTCTAATGGCAGGTGGAAATCAATACAGTGATCCTGTAAGGGCTTAGAAGAGACACACTATCGATATATTATGTGTAATTGTAAGGAAGGGAAAACACACAGCTATAACATTTAGGTCACAGTAAATTCTAGTATCTATTTAATTTTTTGTTGTTGTTTTCGTTTTTCCTTGTCTTGCAATTTTTTATCTGAGTGTATTTTAAGAGTAACCGCAGAAAAAAATACAATGGTAGTCATTCTACTATGGCATTTTTTTTTCTCTTAAATTCTGCTTCCCCCTGCTGGTCAGTGGAAGGTATGCCACCATGACAATACAAAGCGAACAGCAGCCTTGTCAGTACTGTGCTGAGCATCCAGGCATGGTACCCCAGGCCAGGATAAAAGGACATTGGTGGAGTATAATATAGTTGAATAACATCTATTCATTACATGTAGAGTTTCTCTGTTGCAGATTCTTTTTGAAGTGATTTCACTTACAGATGTACAGTCACGTAGCCAGTGGTAGAAATTGGAGCAAAATGCTGTGATGACTCACTTTTCACGTACTACGTGTGGTCCAGAACTGTTCCTTCAACTCCCAGGCAACTGCTGGAGAGAAATTTATTTATTTATTTATATTTATAGAAAAATCTTTATTTCACGAAATTTGTTCCTTTACTAAGTTATAGCTAAGTTATAGACTAATGTGTCATTTACTATTTTCCCCCTTGGATCAAAACACATTCATGCAGATGATAATGCGTGGGGATTTAACTATACTTCCAGGCAGTATCAGTAGAGTGCCTTTAGCCCAGAATGAACCGTGAGGCTTAGGCGATACTTTGTAAACTCATTATTCCTTTTCCTTTTTCCCCTATGTTCCCCCTTCCCCCAAAAAACACTGTTAAGAACAGAGACCTGCAAACTACAAGCATTAAAGCAAGTAGCTGAGCAACTACAATAACAATGCAGGAAAAGCACAAAAAGAGGAGGGATGGATTTAAAGGATTCCCACCTTTCCACCGCTGTATTTTTTTTTTAGCTATGAGTTCTTATGGGTGACCAAACAAATGCAGACAGAAACACACTCTGTAAGTCGATACTGCCTCAAAGAAAAAGGACCCTGGACGTTTTTCACGCCCTGTGGTTTTGATGTTATTATTTTACTAGTCTGGTAAAGTCACTCACAGAGTACACCACCGTTTTCGTATTTTAGAAGCAAAAAGTGTCCGAAGATACGTCAGCGGGCAACTCCCGGGCCGCCAGCGCTGGATACGAGCCAATTCAGTTACTGTCCTGAGAGCTGTTCTGACTAAAAAACTACAGCTCCCAGGAGGCATTGCGCCCGAGTAGCGCAGGCGCAAGAGCGCCCCGGGGGGTGCATTGCATGCTGGGATTTGGAGTTCCCGCCGCCGTGTGCTAGGGCAGTCCTCAGCCGATAGCGCTGCGGGCCTGAGACTCGTAGAAGCGCGGGAAGAGCCAGCCACGCCGCTCAGCCGTCACGCGGTGCGGCGCAGATGGCGCTTGCGCAGCGCGGAGGGGCATGAGCGAGCCGCGTTACTAGGTAACCGTGTGTATCCGTCCGCGGGGGCCGCCTCCCGTTCCCCTGGCGGTGCGGCGAACAAGATGGCGGCGGTGGCCTTTGAGGTAGCGCTGTGAGTCCCTCGGCCTCCGCTCTTCTTTGCGGCTGGAAGGTGAAGTCTTCGACTCTGCAGCCCGGGAGTGGTGAACGGCGGTGGAGGAGAAACCGGGCCCGGGTGCCCTCCTCTTCGCCGCGGGGTGAGCTGATCCTTTTGGAGGCCTTCGGGCGGCCGCCCGGCGCGGGGTCGTGCGGGAAGGAGTCGGCTGGCGAGGAGGGGGGCTTCGCCTCGCTGCTCGGGCGGTGGCGAAGGCCGGGGGGAGACAGCGGGCCCGGAGACCCCGCAGGGCGGTAGGTCGGGCACGCCTGTCCGCTCTGGGGAGAGGCGCGTTGCCCTCTCTCCAGGGTGACGCCGAAGGGGTGTCGGCAACGGCCGCGGCTTTGCCCTCGAGGCTCGGAGCAGAGCCCGCCTTCCTCGCTGCCGCGGGCTCCGGCGCTGAGGGAGCGGGAGGCCTTCGGCGCGTCTCACGAAGGCCGTCGAGCAGCAGCGTTGCTCTGCGCTGCCCGTGACGGCGGGACCCACCGGGCCCTGAGCGCGCTGCTGCAGCGGGTAGTCCTTCCTTGGTCCGGGTGATTAGGTTTGTGGCTCTCCTTGCTTCCGTGTGGGCTGTGCTGTGCGGGAGAGAGCTTTCTCTGCCATCTGCATGTCGGTATTACACGGTTGGCAGTACTGTGTAGGTGTGTTCGATGACTTAATGCTAAATTGCAGTGCTCAGAGTGGAGTGTGTATCTAAAAAGCTGAGTTTAAGATGTACTTGATATCATCTTCCATCTTTATGTGATGGCTTTTTATGACTGGGTTTTTTATTTAGCCTTTTCAAGCTTCTGAGCACGAAGGGGAGTATTGCTCACATCTCTTGCAACTGAGATGAATGCTGTAGTAGAAAAGAGTGCCAACAGTGAATCCACTGCAGAAAAAAGATCTTGTGTGTCTTCTGTATTTTCATTATATTAGCATGTCTTCTTATGATGCTTCTGGCAATTTGCACGTTGCTGTAAATTGCAAAATGTGTGTGACTATAATTGTGTAGATGGTTTGATGTGTAAATGTTGTGACTTTAATCTCGAATGCTATTTTCTCATTGCTGTAGTAAACATACTTGAAAGGGTTTTCATCTCCCTGGTAAATATTGCGAGGTATGTACATGCAGAAATAGAGAGAGCTCTCTTATGGATTCCCCATTGTCCAAGGAGCTGAGACTGTTACTGCATTGCTGCTTTCAGAAATAGAACAATGGAAGGACTCCAAAGTGTTTATAGGAGGATTTCATCTGGAAATAACTGGTATACTGAAAAGTAAGGCAATACACAAATTAGTGAAATATGTTGGGGATGAAAAACAGTACTGCTTAGGTGAGAGCTTCATCTCCAAGAAAAAAGCCAGCTGAACCTCTTTGATTCGTTACTGCATTGAGAAAAAATCAGCATAGCTGTGTGAATGTAAGTTTCCTTGTATATAACTTGTTTGGGAATATCCCAGACGATAGTAACAATGTTTAGAGACTTCTTGTCTGAGAAGAGCGCAGTGCAGTTAAAACATTTTTCTTACAGTCCACTTGCTGGAAGCAGTAAGGTTACTGTGATTTTTGAGCTGTATATAGTGGGGTACATTGGCATGCACCTTACCTTTATATGCTGAGAAAACTACTCAGAGTGTTACTTCCAGAATTAATCATAGAATGGCTTGGGTTGGAAGGGACCTCAAGGATCATCAAGTTCCAACCCCCTCCCGCAGGCAGGGGTGCCATCTGCTAGATCAGATTGCCTAGGGCCCCATCCAAACTGACCTTGAATACCTCCAGGGACGGGGCATCCACAGCCTCTCTGGGCAGTCTGCCTGTTCCAGCACCTCACCGCCCTCTCACTGAAAAACTTCTGCCTGACATAGAATCTAAATCTCCCCTCCTTAGTTTAAAACCATTTCCAGTTGTTCTGTCACTATACCTGTGTAGAAAGTTGATTTCCCTCCTGTTTATAATCTCCCTTTAAATATTAGAAGGCTATTATGAGGTCTCCCCACAGCCTTATCTTCTTCAGGCTGATACCTGGAGCAAAGATAGTTGAAGATAGTTTTTTGTGGAAAATTTTAGATTAAGTAAATATGAATATTTTTTGTATTAAATTACAAGCTTAATATTTTCACTTCTCTTTTTTTTTTTTTTTTTTTTTTTTTTTTTTTTTTTTTTTTTTTTTTTGTTTTTTTTTTTTTTTTTTTTTTTTTTTTTTTTTTTTTTTTTTTTTTT